TGCTGCTGCTGCTGCTGTAGCGACAGCTGCTGCAGCGGCTGCTGCTGCTGCTGCTGCTTGTGCAGCAGCTGGTTGCGCAGCTGCTGCTGCTGCAGCGGGTACCGCTGCTGCAACGGCTGCTGTTGAGGGATTTGCGTTTGTGCCTGTTGGAGAAGCCCTTGGGGTGTCTGCGTCTGCTGCTGTTGCTGCAGCCGCTGCTGCTGCATCTGCATCACCTGCAATTGCAACAGCTCCCGTTGCTCCTGCTGCTGCTGCTGCTGCTGCTGCTGCTGAGCAGGCCACTGCATCTGATACTTCCTAAGCAGCCACAGGACAAGTTGAAGCAAACAAAAAGCTAACTTGAATCTAAATTTAAAAAGACAAGAGAGGCCTCGCGCTGGAGGTGCGCTGAGACAAGCAGCTGGCAGCTGCTGCTGCTTAGCAGCAGTTGTTTCGGGCTGCTGCTGCTGCTGCTGCTGTTGCTGCTGGTGAAGTTATTTAGTGCTCCTGCTTCGAAACGACTTTAAAGAGACACAAAAAGACACCAGCAGCATGAGGCGGCGAGGAGAGAGAAAGAGAAGGAACAAGGAGACAAAGAAAAAGGAAATTAAAAAGAAATACAATAAAAAGAAAAATAAAAAATAATTTTAAATCTGTTTAAAACATGAAAGGGGACACTTAAGCAGATCTGCGCAAAAAGACGTGCTAAGGAGACAGAAAAAGTACAAAGATGAAAAAAGTATTTGAAGAAATTCATTTAAAGAGAAAATGAATCAGAAATAAAATACAAATCAAATATAAACGAAATATAAATGAAACATAAATGAACAGAAAGATGTGCACAAAGAGACAGAAGAAAAGCAAAGAGACAGAGACACGCAAAAGCGCGAAAGGAAAGGGAGATGGAAGCGCACAGGCGTGCGAACTGGCAGCAGCAGCAGCAGCAACAGCAGCAGCAGCAGGAGCAGCAGCAGCATAGGTACGCCACTAAGGAGTAAATAGAGACGAAGCAGCAGCAAAAGTCAAGAGTTAGTTATGCCCTACCTGTATTTGATCTGCAGCTCATCAACACCAACAGGGGCCCCAACCGCAGAGGACGCAGCAGCAGCAGCAGCAGCAGCAGCAGCAGAAGCAGCAGCAGGCCCCTGGGCTGGGACATCCTGAGCGGCAGGAAAGCTGGAAGGGGCAGTTGCAAGCGATGCCTTTGCAGCAGCGCCATGCAGCAGTTTCGAGTGTGACGTTGGCTGTTCTTGCTGCTGCTGCTGCTGCTGCTGCTGCGCATTATTGTTCAGCTGTGGTGGACGCGCTACAAATCGCTGCTGCTCGCTTGGTCCCTGCTGCGGTTTCTGCTGCTGCAGTGTCAGTTGCTGTGCCTGTTGCTGCTGCTGCTGCTGCTGTGGCTGCTGCTTCTGCTGCGGAAGAAGGTCGTGGTCTTCAAGCCTAAGGTGTAAGCAACGCGCATCAGCAGCAATTTTTAGCCGCAGCAGCCACAACAGCAGCAGTGATAGCAGCACTGAGCAGCAGCACTCAGCGAGCAGCCAACCTCAGCAGCAGCAGCA